TAAGACTTCACGACTTGCGAGCGACCCCTTCCATCTGGATGCAAGTTCACCCTTCCAGAATTGTAGGGCTTTTGCTGCAGAAATGTGGATTACGAATGGTTGTGAAATAGGAGCCTCCACTATGTCTCCATTAAATCCCATATTTATTGATGAGTTTCTCATCAAAACCTCTATGTTTGATGGGGGTTTCCAGTCCTGGCGACAGAAGTGGGGGGTGCGCACCAACAGCAAGGCGGGTGTCACCGGAAGCATCTGGATGCCATGGATGAAATCCTTCCTCCAGCCGAACCAGGTCGCATAGTCCACCTTGTTCTGGAAGAAAATGCCTGCCGCTTCAGAGCTCCGGAACCGCATGTGCCCATTGTTTGTCCATTTTGTGTCGAGTCATCCATAATTTATCTATAGCTCTTTCTTTGTAGTTCTTGTTTGTTCATTCAATTGTTCATTGATCTATAATCATAAATAATGGGTGACTTTTGGGCAGGCACTGATTCCTACTGATTCAGACGCCTGTGGCATGGTTTCTGACAAAGTCTTCGGGATGGTGTGGATTGTCGTCTGTCATCAGGAAGAACTCGCGGATGGTCATAGCGCAGAGCGTCAGCATGGTAGTGCCCAGCTGACGCAAGGGCTCTCTCTGCAACACCATGCCCCACAAGTGAATGCCATACCTGGGCTGGTTGAGATTGGTTAGTAAGGTGGTATGGCGGCATACAAAACTAAAAGGTTGTTGAAACTTTGAAGGCATCTTGTCAAGTTGATCATGTTGCTGCTCTAGTTTGAATATGTTTGGATTCCGTTTGGATCAACATCTGATTCGAGACAAGTAATTACTCGCAACCAAACTTGAGTGAGTGCAGTTTGCATGCGATAGTATGGTTTCCTCTTCCCTTTGTAAGGAAAAGACTCCTGCTACAGTATCATGGCTACTCTCTCACAACCTGGTGGAGAGTTTTCACCGATTTTGCGGTGGTAAGAAGCTAGGCAAAATTACCGAGTTTACAACTCAACAACTACCATCAATCAAATGATAGAAATAATGGAAATACTTTAGCATGAAATAGTGGAATTCCATGGCTCTTTGGCCCATCTCCCCATAATGTTCATTGAACGTCCTCCCAATCTGTGCCACAGGCTACAAGAGATTCAATTCTTCTGAGGTGGATTCCTGGTCCTTTCCATCGGCGGAAGGGATCACTCCCCTGCTCCAACTGTGCAGATCGAACCAATCGAAGGAACGAAACAATGGAAAATACGTGTCCTGACAGCGCAGTCAAGGGATCGATCGCTGTTTTGGTTGAAGGGCTGCTGGAGTCTTGATAACCAGGGGAAATGTGGATCAAGTGGTCTTTCACCGGAATTCAAATGCCATGTCTTGGAGTTTCGCCGGGAGTTGTTGTGGCAGCCGTGACCTTTTTGGATTTAGTCTATCCAGGCACCATCCCAGCCCTTATCCCACCTGCCAGCTGGGATTGGTGGTGTCGCGGATCAAGGTATCCACGAAGGAAACCAAGGCGCGGTGGGTGGCAACCTCTGGTTTCAGTTTCACCAACACAGCAGCTGAGACCACAAAGTAGCCTCGGGGATGTGGCAATGTGGCAATGTGGCTGGGGTCCTACCGTTCAAAACATGGGGATGTCCCAAATGCACAAGATATATCATATTATACAAAACTCATGTAAATATATATGTGTGTGTGTGAATATATATATATATATATACATCATATAAAATAGTCACATATATATATATATATATATACGTATTAAGTCTACCGTATACATATGCATGTACACATACATGTATACATACACACACAGAACACATAGATAGATAGATTAGATTAGATTAGATTAGATTTAGATTAGATTAGATTAGATAGATTAGATAGATTAGATAGATTAGATAGATTAGATAGATTAGATAGATTAGATAGATTAGATAGATTAGATAGATTAGATAGATAGATAGATTAGAGATTAGATAGATTAGATAGATTAGATAGATTAGATAGATTAGATAGATTAGATAGATTAGATAGATTAGATAGATTAGATAGATAGATAGCTTAGATAGATTAGATAGATTAGATAGATTAGATAGATTAGATAGATTAGATAGATTAGATAGATTCGATAGATTAGATAGATTAGATAGATTAGATAGATTAGATAGATTAGATAGATTAGATAGATTAGATAGATTAGATAGATTAGATAGATTAGATAGATTAGATAGATTAGATAGATTAGATAGATTAGATAGATTAGATAGATTAGATAGATTAGATAGATTAGATAGATTAGATAGATTAGATAGATTAGATAGATTAGATAGATTAGATAGATTAGATAGATTAGATAGATTAGATAGATTAGATAGATTAGATAGATTAGATAGATTAGATAGATTAGATAGATTAGATAGATTAGATAGATTAGATAGATTAGATAGATTAGATTAGATTAGATAGATTAGATAGATTAGATAGATTAGATAGATTAGATAGATTAGATAGATTAGATAGATTAGATAGATTAGATAGATTAGATAGATAGATAGATAGATAGCTAGATAGATAGATAGATAGATCGATCGATAGATCGATAGATAGATAGATAGATAGATTAGATAGATGGATAGATAGATAGATACATAGATACATAGATACATAGGTAGATAGGTAGATAGGTAGATAGGTAGATAGATAGATAGATACATAGATACATAGATACATAGATACATAGATACATAGGTAGATAGGTAGATAGGTAGATAGGTAGATAGGTAGATAGATAGATAGATAGATTTTTTTGATAGAATATATACGATAGATAAGATAGATAAGATAGATACGATAGATAGGATGTATAGGATAGATAAGAAAGATAGATAGATAGATAGATAGATAGATAGATACATAGGTAGATAGATAGATAGATAGATAGATACATTCATACATAGGTAGATAGATAGATAGATGGATGGGTGGATGGATGGATAGATGGCTAGATAGATATGCTACAAAAATCTATGAAATCATATAAAATCTATTAACGTACATCGTGCATAGATAATAATTTGGGAGAACTTTGGGGCAGTTCTTGACACACTCATTTCAACTCATGTTTCAATTAAGATTTCCTGCAACCTTCAGGGCAAAAGATCGGAAAAATTGCCGTGCAACCATGTAGAACCACCAGCTGAGTGACTGAAATGATAGTGGTGATCATTGTAGCGAGCGTTGCCGAAGTCCGCACCCCTGCAGCCTGCATCTGTAAAGCCCTCGCGGCTGGCAACTCCATGCCATGCCACGTCATAGTACAGGCCGATGGGAGCGCCGTTGCACTCCGGCATGGTGGGCGCGTAGAGACATCGAAAGCCCCTGGGAGGTATCACTTTCTGCCCAAGAAAAACAGCTAAGAACAAGGGTTCTTGGCAGGCGCCTGCTAACCTACGTAGTTAGTACATAGTTGCAGTTACAACTTATTCCTTATTTATTGCCTAAAATACAATGAAATTTTATCCGCAGTATGATGCTTGGTCTGGGTTCCCTGCCAGGCTTGATCCTCCCCACATAACTCCAACCAACCTCTGCAAGAGATTTGCACACGATTGGGTGTAGCTGTGCTTGGTGCCATAAAACTTCTCAAGAAGGAGGCAGGTGTAGGCAACCTGACCATAGCGCGGGAACCAGGCAAAAAAATAACATGCTTAGTTAGATAGGATTCACAGGGATTGACTTGGCCTGTTTCTACCCAGTAACATGTCAACAACTGTAAAACTCATGCAAAAGTATGTAAATGTGCGATGCAATTCCATGTTTGGGATGTATAGGCACCTCTTGGTTGCAGCAGTTTGGTCCGTCACGGGCCTTCTGAAATCCTTTGCCACTGAAGTAGTAGCTGCCCCTGAACATTGCCTGCTTCCAGTGATCTGAGTGCAAGAAGAACTGCAAGGTCCCATAAGCCTGTCGTCAAAGACCCATCACTGGATTCACAACCCAGGAAAGTTGATGAAAGTTGTATACATATATACTATATATATATACATACATATATATGTATATATATATATATACAGTTATATACATATATTATATATATATATATTGCATGTCCCTGACAGTCCCTGAGTAAAAAAATGCCAGGATCCTCGGCTCGCCGAACAGTTCTGGCTCCAGCCCGCCTTGTCCTTCAAGTCCTCCAGCTTGCTGCTGGGCGGCTCGGTCGCCGGGAGGAAGGACAACTCTTGGGCCTCAGAGACGTTCACCTGCAACTGCCACAGGTCTCCTGGACCGGAGCTGTGACACTGGTGACACTTGGAAAGCTGGGATCTCATCGAAGATTGATTGAATAAAAATCATGTCCAATTAGCTGGAGGAGAAACACACATGAACAAAAATACTTCAAACACGCTGTGGAGTGGTTTCGAGCACTAAGCAGTTCTGGTGAGGTCGTCCATCCGGGACTGAAAATGGGGAGGCGGCTTCAATTTCTTATAATTTCATGAGGAATATAATTATATGATGAAGCAGTGGGTTTGGGCACGTCCTACTGTCAAACAAACCATATGGATCATCGTGGATGATGTCAATATAGAATATATTATAATTATCTTTCCACGTCATGGGGGTGTGCAGAAACTCTTGAGCATAGCCTCGACCGACTTCAATGCCGAATCTTACGTGACGAAACTGTTAGAAAATTATTTTGACGCTGGAAAGCCAAGGAGTTGGAAGACACCAGGTCAATCCATCTTTATATAATTCAACTCGAAAATGAAAAAAATCTCAGTTCAGATTACTATTCCAGTGCTTCAACATCTTCAACAAAAATGGTGAAGGAATTCTTCCATGGCAGTCCTGTCACACCCTTCATCTTCCCCTTGGTGGGCGGAGCCAATGGCGTCAGTGGCGTCACAGCCTGAGCCATCCACTTGCCACGTGGACCTCTACTCTCAAGTGCCACAGATGTTCGAAACACCAACCAAACTAGACTATCAACAGAGCATCTTGGAATGAGGCCAAAATGGGCCAACCATGGCAACCGGCTCCTACCTGTTTGATCCTTTTTGATCCTTTTTAATCTTACGTGGCTAAAGTGAGAGAGGATGGTTGTTTCGATGAAGCCATGCAACACCCGACACACCCAACGCACCCGACGCACCCGGCGCACCTGCGTGTGTCCTGTCATGATTTTTTCGTGATGAGCATAGGCGAAGTGCAGGATTTGCTTCGGAACAGCCGCGTGTTTCGCGAAACGATACCTCAAATGCAAAGCAAATATTAATATGATTAATGTATATAGAGGAAGTGCAAGACGTGAATGGAATGATAGAGGATGCGCTGTGGTTCTCTTCCCCCTGGAAATGAGAACCTCCAGGTTGAGAGCAAATGGGTTGAAAACTTCATGCAAATCATATATATATATACATATCATATATATATATATTATATATATATACATATCATATATATGTATATATATTTAATATTATTTAATGATATATACAAGCGGGCAAAAGCCATCTGTAATCTTTTTTGCCCTTTTAGGCATCAACAGTGTCACCTCCAAGTTGCTTGACCATGCCACCACTTTCCACCTCCAGTTGCCAATCCACCAGTACAGCTGGAGCATGGAAGTCCAAGATTTGCCGATCTCCGGGTGCTTGAACCTCTGCCAAACGAATCCAACCTTCGAAGGTCTTCTGCATAGTACCATTGGGATGAAAGTCAAAGGAGTCATCTGCAAAGTCACCGGAGGCATTGATGGCGTACAAACGGAATTCCTGAGCCAATCTGACAGAACTAGTGGGCACGGACCAGTCAAGTCACCGACAATCAGGGGGACCAGCGAGGCAAACGTTGAAGGAATGGTTGTTGATGGATTTCATGTCGGCTGCGAATCCGAGTTTCTTGTGCAAACTCAATACAGCCGATGCAAAATATAACTTTTTTGAAAAAGGCTTGGGAAAGCTTGGGCCATATGATATATGGAGTTGGGTCCAGCTTACTTGGCTGGTAAATGATGATGTTTGACATGCTGAAAACGTGTTCACACCTTTGACCGACAGCCATAGCTGGGCAAAAGCCAGAGTTCCTTTCCGCCATTGTTGAGGAGCTTCCAGATTCCATTGCTGACCCGCTCGATGACCAGCAAAGTTCGATCTGATAAAATCTTCGGAGTGAATCCGGTGTAAAAGCCAGACACATAACTCATGCCGCTGTAGATGGGGAACAGGATCTTGCGTTGTGTCCCAGCAGGTCCTCGAACCTCCACATGAACGCCAAACAAGCCCTCCTTCACAATCACTTGCCCTTCTTTGCTGGCTCGTTCAACTGCTGATAAGCCAAACCTGGTGAATGTTGGTCGCTTCAATCTTCCCAGCGAATACGGGTCGGGTCATTGGGGATCATCCCAAAAATCATTTTGGAGAGTAGCACAAAAGCCGCAAAAACATGCAAAAACATTTCCATCATATCCAATTCATATCCGATATGCTCCGAGCATATTTGAAACATTTTGAAACCATCTGAAATCATCGACCAGAAACTCACTGACAAAAGGTGAGAAATAATATCTGATTTTGTCTGCGCCATTGGTCTCTGCATCTCCATACTGTACGACTCGTGCTTCACTGCTGGCTCGGGAGACCTTCATGTTGGGGGCCCCTGTCGATGCATCAGAATCATATCCCAGCACATAGGGCATTGGATGAATGGGCCTCAGCTGGTGAGGCCAAAGGAAGGGTCAATTATGGTCAGACAATACCTCTAAAGCTCCCTGCACCACCGAAAACCTTGAGGGCATGTTTTTTGGGTCCGTCCACGTCGAAAGACTCATCCTGGGATCACTCTTTTGGTCTAGATTCAAGGTTCAACCAAGTGTGAATGTCTGACGATAACATGCCAACACATTATTTGAATCCTGGGGCTCACAACTACACTCGATACCCCCTTACCCCATTCATATCCATTCTTAAGTTCACCCAAAATATCACCTGGTGCCCATCAACATCTTTACAGTATATTAGTACTGCCATATACTGCCATAGTACTGCCATGCCCCTCAGCAATCATCCAATCATCCAATATCCTCCAGGTCACAGCTGGCGCCCTTCCTCCACTGCCCAATTGGCCCAGAACTTGTTGGTGCCCTTGGCGCCCGGCACCTCTGTCCCGAAGGGCGGCAGGTGTCGCGGCAACGCCGGCAGCGGAAAGTGGGCGGCGTCCGGAGGGTCCAAGGAGATGGGCTGCAACAAGGACCCTGGGAAGTGGCGTAGGATCATGGGAATTCATAGGTGGTTCAGCAATGTTATAACATGTTATAACCAATCTTAACATATCTTAACCAATGTCAACCAATGTTAACCACCTTAAGGGTTTTATAAAATGTTTTAAAAATTGTTCGGCGGTTGTTGGTGGTTAATAAACCAGTCTTATTTCGGGGGTCACCTTTTGGGCGTTCTTTACCGCTTGCATCGGCCTGCTGCAAATGGGACGTGCAAGAGGAAAGCGATTCGCCATGCCGCCATGACTTTCGAAGCTGGGCAACTCAAGACATAGTCAAATTAGGTCAAATTGCATACCATATCATACCATGGATGACATGATGATACTGTAACGGTGTGTGTGTGTGTCTGTGGTGGTTTCCATTGCTTTTGGTAAAAAACATCCTTTTTAAGGGACCCCTATGAAAGTACCCTTCGGATATCTTCGGATGCCTTTCTGCTGTAAGCCTTACGGTAGTTTGTTCTAAAGGCCTGTCGATCCAAATGCTGGCAGCGGCAACTTTGGCTAACATCACCTCAACTGTGCGACGACTTTTTGGCGCACGACATTGTAGAATAGTGCCCACAACACAGAAAACATCATCATTGGATGCTGCTTTGGTATAGTTAGGGATGCCAATAGATACAGTTACTTACGCTCAAGTTCAAAGGCGGCACCTTCTTTCAATTGCAAAGAGGTTACAGTCCTGGTACATCGTGGCACATACGAAATTATCAGACTAGAAAAGTGGGGATGGGTCGCAAAAATGGAGGATTCACAGCCTCCAAACTCCAAAGTTTGGATGCCATCGCAGAAACCACCAACATATTTTTTTGGCGGGATCCTCCAATTGGATCCAATTAGGCCATACCCAAGACAAGCAGATTTGGGGGTTGCCCCCTCCCACTTCGTAGTAGTTCCCGATTTGACTTGTCTCGATTGTGAGATACCCATTTCGTCTCATTCCCTTGGGTTTTCATACATGTTCTCATCAAATCTCATGAATTTCTCTCTCTGGCTCTCTTGATTTGGCTTTGGTATCGTCCAGCAATAGTGTGGCCAAATAATGTTCCAAATCTTGCTATAGATATTTCCAATGTGTAGCTTACATTCCCATTCCATCTTCAATCGTAAGTCCTCCATGTCCTGCAGAAACTTTGGTTGGCTCAACATTCTGAACTCCAACATTCTGGGGTAGGTAACAGTTCCAAATTGAAAATTCATCATTGGATTAGTTTCAAGATAGATTAAAATAATTTTAACAGGAAACCCGATATTTGGCGAGCAGATTTTCCTGTACATAAATCATCCCAATTAATTAATACCACTTACATACCTGTATGCCCGCATTTACATCCCGTGAGTTACATTCCATCATAGTATAATAGCCCACTACACCCAGTTAGTTCGAAATATAAATATACATACCATCAATCCATTATAAATTGAATGGTTTATGCGAGAAAAAACTTCTGCCCCGTCAATCCATATAATCCATATAAATATGCTCCATCAATATCCATCAATCCCATCTTCAATATACCCAACTGATCGATTGGTACCGGCATTCCGGTACCGGCACCTTGTCCTGCGCCGTGCGGCCATCGATGTCCCGATGTTCCAGCAGCTTGCCGGGCAAGATGGGCCTTGGGCGAAAGACTGATGGTTATAGGTTCTATGGTAAAGTTATACATGTAATATTTGCACATCATATAATATATGCAGTACTTATTTACGTATAGGTGTGCGATTTTTTCAGCAGATGCATAGGTTCTTGGAACACAGTGGATTATAGATGATTGAGTGGGATCATAGTAGATCTCAGTGAGAACATAGGCATTGATGTGACACCGAGGTACCGTAACCCGTTTGGGTTGCATGACTTCGATAAGTTCAGTGCTTATTGTGTCACTACCTTTTGATATCTTGTGATTCAGCAGGTATCTGGGCTCTTTCCTACGCTCCAGGGGATCTTCACGTGGATGATATGTGGATGGTCGTCATCGACAGGCGCGGCCAAGCGACGCAAGGTACTGCACCACGGGATAATGGCCCCTGGAGGTGCCAACAGATGTGACATGCCCCATCCAGCTGGGGCAGTACATATCTACCACTAATAACCTCCGGAAAAATAGAAAAGCAATTCACCATAATTCACCACTAGTTTATCGAACTGGGATTTACTTGTGCTATCTTTTTGATTCTTTTTGGGGGCTATGCTATAGCAGCTATACTCCCACTACACTTCCACAGTTCCTTCCCACGGTTCCCTTCGCGTGCCTGGCAGATGCCAAATGCAGCGCTGTCTGTCTCTGCTCCGTCAACATGCCCGCTTGGTGGGGCACCTGGCGATCTGGGTTGGGTCAGCCATTCATGGCACATTTGAGAAGGCCAAAATGGGGCCCCCATTTGACAACGCCACAAACCCGCAAAAAATGCCAAAAAGCTAGTTGAAGGTATGTGTGGCCTTGATGTCCAATTGGGATCTAACCTCTCAAAAACCCTGTGCAGTGATACCCAAGTAAATTGAAACATAGCTTTGATATAGGATAGGTCATAGGTCAGTGTAGTAATGTGTAGTGAAAACATGTGAAAACCGGAGTTATTATATGTAGATAATCAGATACATGATAATACAAGTATTTGGAAACACGTGTGGCCACCACACCATACCTTCCAATCTGAGTTCCATAACCCCACGGTTCTTCCCGGGTATTTTCCCCAGTCCTTTCGCACCTGTTGAAGTAAGAACTGGACGACCTTCAAATGACCCTCACGGGCTGCACAATGAAAGGCAGTATGCTGACTCCTGCTGCGTGCTTCCATCGTCTCCTGGTGAGCGGTTGGTGACGGTTAGGTATGTGTGAGTCAATTCATGGAAACACCGTAAGATGGACGGTGTTTAATGAAAAATGACCTTGCCTAGAGATGCTGTTGGAGGTTGCCTTTGGGGGCACTCAGGGTTCCTCCAGGTCCCCCCAGGTCCGCCCCCCCGCTCCGGCCACTTGGTAGCCAGATACTTCACCACAGCCTGGTTGGCAAAAGATTGGCGTTTTGCTGGTGGGCCAACTGCCAGTGGCCCATGTGCCCCAAAAAATGCATAGTTGCCCAGCATATCGACATAGTTCGACCTAAACAAATGATTTGGATTAATTTATATAGTTGATTTGAGTGCGGAATCTGCTGAGTTTGGGAAGCCCCAGCAATAGAGTTGCGATTGATAGCCATCAGGGCCAAACTTTCAGCCGATCGGCAATGAAGCTCTGAGATAGCTGGCCAAATGCTTCGAAAAGAACAAAGTACAATCACGATATTAAACATGATTAAACCATGATAAACTGCGCAAGGATCCCATTGGCTGTGTCTGAGACCTGTTAAATTTGAAAGGTTCCCTAGATCCAGACCCTGTCCATCCCATCTGAGTCGATCACAAGATGCCCCTTTTGTGCCGCGATGTGCAATGGCAGCCAGCCCCCAGTTTTGCCTCGGAAGTGCCGTGATGCACCGCTTGGCTCTCGGGGGCACAAACCATGCAATCTGAGATGCTTCGGGTGTTCATACCAAGCAACTGGGTGGCAAACCCATCTTAAACGTCTTAGGGATTTGGGGTGAGCATACTTTTTTTTAATACCTTCAATATGTCTGCTAGGGATCCAAACAACACTGAAGATTCCAAGATCCTCCAAGATCACAACTCCTGCCGATGTGAAACCCAGATCGAAAGCCAAGTGACTACAGCCACCATCACAGGGAGAGAGGGGCCAGCAATCACCTTAACTTGTCAAGTGAAGCCTTGCGACCTGGAAGATTCACCCTCTCAGGTGACTATCCATATTGTTCGAAGGTTGTTCGAAGGTTGACATTGTTTACATGATTCCATGATGAAGTCGGTGTCATCTTTCTATATATTTCTGGTTTTCAAGGGCAAAAAATGAGGATTCCGCTCCGGATGCATGCCCTGGATTGCCACATGCAGCCGGCTTCATTTAAAAGAAATCAGCAATTCCATGCAGGCAGGGGAAGTCGCAAACCATGAACGCTTTGGGATGCTTTTGGCATATGCGTAATGCACCGTAGTGTAAACATGTGTAAACCAAAAATTAAGCCCCAAATGCCCAAAAATGCCAAAAGCTGGGCCATCGATGGCCATCGCATCCCCACCAGCAATTCCTGGTCGAAGGGCAGCGGTAGATGCTCTCGGACTGGGGAAAGGTCCTGCAGGGAGACCGCCACGGATTGAACATCAAATCCGAGGTCAGGACCCAAAAATAGGGTACAGTGTACAGCACTGGGGATGACTTGGTGACGCCAGCCTAAACAAGATTCGTCCAGTGGGACCCCCCTCACCATCAGAGATACAAATGGAAAATGCAAAACAATCAAAAAAACAACCGCCCGAAGCAAAACAAAAAAACAAAAAAGTGAAGCCAAAAAACACTGCTAATCCATTAGATTCGGTTGGAACTGGCCAGAAATGTCTAAATCCAAAATTTCCCAACGGGGCTGCCTGCTCTGCACCAGTTGTGGCCAGCGCTCGGCCAAATATTGCGCCACCTCCACGTGGCCATAGCTGGCCGCCAGGTGTAAGGCTGTCCAACCCAGCCTGCCGAGGAAATGGAAGTTGGACCCGGGCAGCCTAGGTTTGCCGGAAGTTCTTTGGTGGCCATGGCAAAGCCATCCAAATCCATGGCAAACCCGTGGCAAATCCATGAGCATACAAGATGTCTATATAGGTAATGTTCTTCTGAAAACCACGGATTTTACAAATCTACGGCATGGTTTTCACTCGAGGATGGTAACCGACTTGAACAGTTTGAGATGTTTGAATGGGAAAGCACAGCTGATGACAATGGCTCACACTTTAAGCGCAATCCATGAGCGGAGCTGGCTATATCTGGTTAGATTGCGTTGTATAAATCCACATTTGCATGTTCATGGTTTAAGTTTATAGTCTTGAGTTATAAATGTCACAACCCCTGGTTTGAACTCATCTTGACAGCAGTGGATCATTTTGTGGCCCCTTTGTGGCACCAGAAGCAACTACAGCTTCTGGTCAGGTGTGGGATGGCTACCCTTTCTCCATCGGTGTCAAAATGGGCACGGCAAGATTTCAACGTATGCCGTCTGTGCCTGAAAGGTGTATGTTTCCAAGAAATAAAATGTGCCTGAAGATGGGTTATACCCCCAAAGCGGCCATCGAATTGGAAAAAATACAATAGACATATGATAAACTGATAAAACAGTGGATTATGGGTACCTTATGTTCAAACAAAGCCGGAGGGCACCTGTAGGTGGCCAAAGCAGTGTCTGGCTGATTCTCTGAGAGAAGTTTCACTACAGCTGTGTGTCCTGGCGGCCCACGCTTCAGTGTTTCCTTGGACAGGAAATCTACGAGAAAAAAACATTAATAATAATATCAATGGCCATTTCAGGAACCTAAATTGGAGGTACCTACCATATATATATATATATGTTAATTGCATGAACCACTTTCATCCCTGGGCAGTGCATTCACAGGTTGACATTCGAAGGACCCTTTCGGCTGAGAAAAGGAGCCAACTGCGTGACTGGCCCCGGGTGGGGCAATGCTATCCAATTGACATTGGTAGCGGAGCCTCACCCGGGGCTGGTGAGGTGACGTGCCATGGCGGAAGCAGGAGACCGTGGCCTGAAGAGGTTTCACGGTGACGTGGAAGACCCAGGTAAAGCTCTTCGCCAATGGAAGAGCTGGGCACTGGCAAAGATGATGACAATGAAAGACCTGTCTCCGATGCAGAAGGCGCCCTGGATTTACACGTTGCTGGATGGGTCAGCGTGGGAAGCAGTGGAACACCTGACCCTAGATAGTCTAGCAGTTGAAGGTGGCGATGCCGAGCTGTGGAAGGTTCTACATGATCGGTTTCCGGAAAAGGAGCCTACAGACATGATGGGGGAAGCTCTGGGCGAAGTGTTCGCTTTAGCTGCAACAGAGGGTGAAACAGCAAAGCAGTGGACGGCTCGAGTTCGCGAGACTTTTGACAAGTGCAAACGTCGGGCCAACACTGATTTTCCCGCCACAGCACGTGGATGGATCACTCTGAACTGCGCAGGTTTGTCGGAGGAGTAGAAGGCCATCATCAAGGCGAAGACTCAGGGCAGTTTGGATTTTGATGATGTCTCCAAGGCCTTCAGGTCATGTTTCCCGATGTACAAAGCAGGAACCAGAGCCAAGAAACCCATCGGAGCTTTAGCTGTAGATGAGGAACCACTGTCTCAGGGGGCCTCGGATGACGATCGATATGACGATGTTCAGTCTTTTCTGGCAGATCACTCACAAGTCAACGCTGGAGAGGATATTGAACTGTCTGAGGGCGAGGCTGCAGAGGCTTTGGCCGTGAGCTGGAAAGAGCGCCGTACTGAGATTGCCAAGGTGAATCAAGCCAGACGATTCACCAAGAGTTCTTCCTCTGGTGTTTCAACTGGCGGCCGGAGAAACTTTCGCTCCGAAGTTGACGAACTCAAGAAGAGAACACGCTGCAGGCGCTGTGGGAAGCTGGGTCATTGGGCTCGTGAATGCCGCAGTGCACCGTCAGGGAACGAGGTTTCTGGAAGTTCGTCAGCTCAACATGCAACTGGTGTCAGCTACGTGGAAGTTGAAGATCCGGACATCACCTTCATAGGTGCTGCCGAAGTGGTCGAAGTCCAAGACAGCCTGGCAGCCGGCTTGATTTCCTCGCCAGGTTTTGGCGTGGTGGACACTGGATGTGGGAAAACGTTGATTGGGGAACAGACCCTGGAACAGGTAGAAGCCATGCTCGCGACACACCGTCGCCCTCCTGCTCAACGCCTCTCCAAGGCCAATGTGTTTCGTTTTGGCAATGGTGCAATTGAGCAATCTGAGGTCACTGCAATGATACCTGTGGGGATTGGTGGCAAGAATGGATTGATCGAAGCAGCAATCATCAAAGGTCAAGCACCTCTCCTATTGGGTAGGCCTACGTTGCAGAAGTTGGGAATGCACCTGGATTTCAAAGAAGGGCTTCTCACAGTTCTGGATGGTGCGGTTCAAGTGAAGATGCACTGCAATCCGGCGGGTCAAGTCCTGCTGAACCTCCTCGACTTTCCCAAAGCTGAGGACCAGGTGCCTATCTCTAAGCCTGATGATGTAGGTAAACCTGAAGTAGGTAATCCTGGGGATAACCCTAAGATTAATAACTCAGTGGGTAGTCCTAAGAATCCCAACCGAAGAAAGGTCACCCTGAAGAATAAAGAATGCAGATGCCTTCTTGCCCAAATGAAGAGCACCGCCCAACATGAGAAATCTCAGATTGCTGTTGCTGAGTTGTTTTCACCACCCAGATTTTCTCTAGAGGCTCAGAAGCGTGGCCAACAAGGCATTGCCTTTGACCTGAAACAGGGTTGGAATCTCTTGAACCCACTGACACAACGTAAGGTAGATGCCCTCCTGGATGAACTCTGTCCTGAACTTTTGATCGTTTGCCCACCATGCACATACTCTGGGGGTTGGGAACATCTCAATTCATGCTACAGGACACCGCTGGAACGTGCCAAGCTGCTGCACGAGAATCGAGCCCGACTGAAGTTCTCTCGCCAGCAGATTGAGAAGCAGGTTCAAAGGGGCGGTGAGTTCATGTTTGAACACCCATGGGGTGCAAGCACCTGGAATGACCCAGAGTTTGAAATCTTGTGCAAGAAATATGGAGTGATCAAGACTGACATGTGCCAGCATGGACTCAAGTGCCCAGAGACTGAGCTGAAGATCCGTAAGTCAACTGGTTTGATGGCATCTCGTTCATTGGCTCAACATGTTCGTACGTGTGATGATTTGCATCAGCATCGTAGGATAGAGGGGAAGCTCAAAACTGGTCAGTTAGTGAGTGACTACTGTGCGGCATATACCCAGGGTTTTGTGCGAACCATGTATGATGCCCTTTTGCATAAACCTCATCCTCTTGAAGCTGAAGCCCGTTTTGTTGAAGCCGAACTTGCATGCCTCGCTGGTGAAACAGTAGGTCTTGAAGACCATGATGCGGATGTGCCGGTAGCAGTAGAACCCAGCGCAGAACCACCGAGTCAGCAGAACTCACCACTACTCAGAACGTTGCAGAGACTTCATCAAAATTTGGGACACCCTTCCACTGAACAGCTGATCAGGATTCTGCGTCATAGCAAAGCTTCCTCGGAAGCAATTGAGTGCGCCAAGACGTTAGAGTGCACTACATGTTTGAATCATCGTGCACCCTCCCCTGCGTTGCCAGCAAATGTGCCATCTCCGCTGGCCTTTAACGATCAGATTGGACTGGATGTCAAGTATGTTAGTGGATGGAAGATCAATCAGCGTGTTGCATGTATCAACATTGTTGACTATGGCACTGGTTTTCAAATGGTGATCCCTATCTACACCAAGGAAAGTTCAGACCTGATCAAGAAGGTTTTGCAAGATAGCTGGATCGCATGGGCCGGACCACCGAAAGCTTTGTGTGTGGATCCTGCTCAACCAAATATCAGTCAGGCAATGTCCGAGTTTTGTGAGGCACGAGGCATCACCTTGCATGCCACAGCAGGGGATGCGCATTGGCAGCTGGGCAAAGTGGAACGACATGGGGGTTGGTTTTCTCAAATATTGGACAAGGTCATTTTTGATGTTGCGCCTACTTCCCAAGAAGAATTTGCAGAATGTATCATACAAACTCAGACTGCGAAGAACAGCCTCATCAATGTCACCGGAACAAGTCCATACCAACTGGTTTTTGGTAGGAATCCCAGAATCCCAAGCGATCTCCTTCAAGAAGACCCTGACGTTGTTGCCTCGGAAGCCATAGCACTCCACGATGGGTATGCCCGTAGCAACCAAATTCGACAGAATGCCAGACAAGCCGTGTTGGCATGCCAGGATAGCAGTGCACTTCGTGCAGCACTCCGAGCACGTCCTAGACCATCTAGACCATTTCAGTCTGGAGATTGGGTTTACTATTGGAGGTCACAGAAGTGGGTTCAGGGTAAGCTTATCAAAGGGGGTCAATGGTGTGGGGCTGGTATGTTGTTGGGAACAATAGGTCGCAACTGGATTGTCGCACATAGGAAGAACGTGATCCGATGTGCTCCAGAGCAACTGCGGCTTGCCTCGTCGGAAGAACGAGTCATTGCAGACGATGCCCAGTCAAATGAGTTGCTAGGCATCAGACACCTTTTGGAACGAGGCCAGTTTCCGAAATCACAGTTTGAAGATCTGGTTCCTCTTGACAATCCACCACAACCTGAGTGTGCGCATGACGCTGTCCAAGAAGCAGTAAGTAGGCCTGCAATGTCAGCAGGAGAGCTCGTACGATCCCAGAAAGAGCCAATGCCAATCGTTCCAGAAGATGAAAGCATGCCAGATCCGACCGGATCCAAGATCACGCCCGAACGTGCCGAGCCGAACCTGTCACAGCCTGGGGAACCCAATAAGCACATTTCTTCAAGTGAATATGGTCCCGTAAGAATAAGACATAGGTCCAAGTCTTCCCAAGATCCTATGTTGCGACCTGATGGTAGCCAGTATGAAGATTTTGCTGAAATGATGCAGGAGATCGTGCCATCTTTGATTCCCCAGGTGTCTGACAGTCCAGCAAATGGTCCCGCTTCCAATGAACAGTCCAGCAGTCCAAGATCTGCAGGCCATAAACGAGAGGCCAGCCGCGACGTTCAAGAGGGGCCTGGTAGTAGGATTAGGACCACTTCACCGAGGGAGGACGCCCTTACATGTGACGAAGTCTTGTCCGTTGAAGTGGATTCCAAAGTTCCAGTGTGTACAGCTGATGCTCTTTTGGCGTCATTCCTCCAAAAGAAGATGCAGAAAGAACTTCCTGCAGTAGGTAACCCACCTGATGTTCAGCAAGACATAGACAAGGCTAAGGTCACTGAGTGGGAAACTTTGCTTGGGAAGGGTGCCATCAAAATTTGGAAAGGAGCCGACGCAAAGAGACTAGCTGCCAAGCACCCTGATCGTTTCATCGGTAGCCGATTTGTCTGCACCCGCAAGACTGAGGAAGAGGGCACTCGCACAAAAGCAAGATGGTGTTTGCAAGGCCATTCAGACCCTGACTTCAAAGACAAAATTAACAGTGGTTTGTGTCATAGCCCCACACTTAGTCAAGTTGCCAGAGCTCTCGTCCTTCAGATCATTGTGTCCAAACGATGGACCCTATGCCTTGGGGACATTAAGGGAGCTTTCCTTGAAGCCGGTCCTCTGAATAGTCGTTTCAGACCGCTGTTTGCCCGTCAGCCATGCGGTGGAGTGCCCGGTTTGGATCCATCTGACATTATTGAAGTAACTGGGAATGTCTATGGCTCAAATGATGCTCCTTTCAACTGGTATCAGGAATTCAGTTCCAGTGTCCAAGATCATGGTTGGAGTAGATCCCAATTTGACAGCTGTTTGTTTTTCTTGCGTGGTCCAGATGGAGAACTTCAAGGGGTTTTAGCGGCTCATGTAGATGATACCATAGTGGCCGGAGATGGACCGATGTATGAAGAAGCTGTTCGCAAATTGAAGGCAAGGTATCCCTATCGGAAGTGGAGAATCGGCAGTGGGGAGTTCTGTGGTATTCAATTTCAGCAGTGTCCCAAGACCTTTGAAATTCGGTATCACCAGCAAGAATATGCTCGCCATTTACGTCCAATTTCTGTTTCCAAAGATCGACTGAAGAACAAAGACTCACCAGCCAACGACCGGGAGGTTGCAGCTCTCAGGGCAATCAATGGAGCAGCGAATTGGCTCTCAAGCCAGAGCCGACCAGATCTCTGCACGCAGACGTCCTTTAGCCAACAGTGCTTCCCAGAGCCCAAGGTAAAGGATTTGTTGTTTGCCAATCAGTTGGCTCACCGTCCCAAGCAATATTCAGAAGTTGGAATCACAGTCAAGTACATTCCTTGGGATCTTCTTGCAGTGTGTTTTCACTCCGATGCTGGGTTTGCCAACTCTGGTGCCACGTCCACCCAAGGGGGTTTTGTGATTAGCTTTGTGAACAAGTCATTAGACAAGAACGAAGCGTCACCATGGTCTCCTGCGGTGTGGAAATCTATGAGACTCCCACGAGTTGTTGCTTCCACTTTGGGGGCAGAGGCACAGGTGTTTTCACAGGCAAGTTCCTTGGCTGAGTGGATCGCTCTAATGGTCACCGAGGCCAAGCAAGGATCTTTTGACTTGAGAGATGTAGCCAAGATTGTCGATCAGCCGTCACTCCGCTCCAAAATCTTTTGCACTCCGATTATAGGTATAACTGACTGTAAAAGTTTGTTCGATCACATCACGTCCCTGTCCTCAGTAACCAAGTGTGATGACAAGCGAGTGGCCATCGATTTGGCGATCATCAAACAATGTTTGGGCCGCACCACTCTGTCCATCAGATGGGTACCAACGCACCTGCAACTGGCGGACTGCCTGACCAAAGACAAAATGGATCCATCGGACTTGCTCCGAGCTGCGCTAGACATCGGCGAATATCAGTTGAATGATGAAGCCAGTGTTCTTGCCATGAAAAAGAAACACAGAGAATTTCGCAATCGAGTTCGTCAAGCACAAGAAGCCGAAGAAAGCCAACACAGACTCCGAAAAGCCAACTAATTAAGTGGTTAAATATTCCCCAGATGATTCTATGCCTCACTTTGCGTGTAAGATGTTGATCTTGCCGTGGGCTGCAAAGTAGGTGAATCGCTGGAAATGCAGTGTACAATCCTCAGTTTTGCATTCACAATTTTGTTGCGTAAGCGCAGTGTTTTTCTCAAAGCCAGTGTCCCACAATCCATTTCTGGTTTGCATCTGCCCAACACTTTTTGCACGTTTTTGGTGAAGTTTTGACCGGATAGAGCAATGTCTCGCAAAGTCATGAAAGTCGCAGCTGTTCCCGAAGAGGCCTTGCAGCTGCTCAGATCTCTCAGTGAGCAAGGTGTGCTCCAAGAAGCCTTGCGTCAGATTATGGTCCCTTCTGGCTGCTCGTCTATGAGCGATGCTTCGAAGCGCCGTGGTGATGATCTCTCTGAGCCTGATGAGTTCCAAGTGATCGCTGACTTGGATGAGACTGGTGGCAGCGATCAGAATACCCAGGTGAATGGAGTAGAGGTCATCATTCGGGGAATCAAAGCCCCTGAAGGAATCCCTGACCTCCCCACCTGGGGTCGCACAGTGTGCACGTTGCCGAAGGTAGAGAAACGCAATGTCAGCTACAGCGAGCTGGTGCAGGAAGCCAAAACCTCCACCGAGATGCTGAACTACCTGTGCTGGGTGCGCAAGAATCCTCAGATTTCTGCCAAAGTCAAGGACTTGAGTGATTATCTGAAAGCCGCTGGAGAACGCATGACAGACGAGCAATCGGCTGTTCCCTCCTTCGGGTACTATCCTGGTTCCACGGAAGTTCGCAAGCTGAAGTAGACCAGCTGGTGTTGAGATCTTTATTACCATTGGCCGGATGCCAATGAAGGGGGTGATGAACACCCTTGGGAATTTTTGAATTTAAGAGTTTAAGAGGGATGTTAATTGCATGAACCACTTTCATCCCTGGGCAGTGCATTCACAGGTTGACATTCGAAGGACCCTTTCGGCTGAGAAAAGGAGCCAACTGCGTGACTGGCCCCGGGTGGGGCAATGCTATCCAATTGACATATATATATATATATATATATGGTCTTATATGGTACAGTACCTCCATTTTAGGATCCTGAAATTCCCATTGATAATATGTATTATGCGTATAGATGGACGGACATATCTATCTATCAATCTGTTTGTCTGTATGTCTACCTATCTATCTAACCTATCTAATCCATCTAATCTATCTAACCTGATCTATAACCTAATCTAATTCCATCTTATCTTATCTATATATCTACATGCCTATTACCTATCTATGATAATATACATATATATATATAAGGATCATCATGATCATGGATGTCTTTGCCTCCGCAAGAAGAATCCCTCGAATTTTCCCCGTCCTCCTCTAGCAGCTAAATGCAAAGCAGAAAGGCTCTGAGTAGTTGCCTCGGCCAAATAGAAGCGGTGGAAACCCTGCATAAGAATGGCTCAAAACTCATAGAATTCTGCTTTTCACATTTGAAATCCGCCCACACCGCTTTGGCGGTGAAGGCGTGCTTATTGGGGGGCAACAGCAACACTAAATGCTCAATGACATTTGTTAATATAGCAGTCGCTATATCAGCTTTAGCTGGGGGGGGGGCCAAAAACGGTTTCGCACCGAGACCAGAATACGGTGGTGTTTTCGACATTTTTCGAGGATTTTTGGGTGTCTGAGCGCAAGAGGGTATTGAAATGGAATTTTGGGTCATTTTGGTAGCTTTCCGGCAATGGAAAAACGGCCAAAAATGAAAAAAACATTGTACATAGCAAGATTTTGCAGGGTTTTTGGATGCCAGAGCATTGAAAACACTGCAAAAACAAGTGTTTTGGACTGACGTTATAGCAAAAAACGTGTAAATTACCGTATGCTTGACTGGAAACATTACAAAAACACTGTCAAAAGCAATGTTTTGGAAGGATTTACTGCCTTTATGGCAAAAAACGTGTAAATTACCGTCTGTTTGACTGGAAACATTGGAAAAACACTGTCAAAAACAATGTTTTGGAAGGATTTCTTATATATATATATATATATGTTGGAGTTGGCTACCGGCATTGGCACATGGAAAAATTGAAGAAAACACTGTAAATAGCGGTATTTTCAACGGTTGGGGAGATAAGGGAATTGGAAGCATTGTCGAACATGATGTTTTCGACCGGTTTTATGGCGACAAAAGTGTAAAGTACCGTGCTTTGAAGGAAACCATTGCAAAAACATGGAAACACGTTCAAAGAACACGGGATTTGGGGGACTATCTAGGCGTCGTTGTCTAGCTATTTGAAATTCCGCAGCTTGGAGAGCCTCCAAGGGAGGGAAAAGTGAAAATTCCATAGCTTGGGAAGCTGTCACGGCAGGGAAAAGTGAAAATTCCCTAGCTTGGGAAGCCCCCAGGGAAAAGTGAAAATTCCCTAGCTTGGGGAGCCCCCACGGGGGGGAAAAGTGAAAATTCCCTAGCTTGGGGAGCCCCCACGGGGGGGAAAAGTGAAAATTCCCTAGCTTGGGGAGCCCCCACGGGGGGGAAAAGTGAAAATTCCCTAGCTTGGGGAGCCCTCACGGGGGGGAAAAGTGAAAATTCCCTAGCTTGGGGAGACCCACGGGGGGGAAAAGTGAAAATTCCCTAGCTTGGGGAGCCCCCACGGGGGGGGGAAAAGTGAAAACTCTTAGCTTGGGGAGCCCACACGGGGGAAAACCACCCTTAGCCCCTCTCACGGACCGAAATAAACTTGCGGTGTGGGCGGCCACCCCACGCGAAGCGGGGTGAATATATCAAAGTGGCTGGTAGCTAATAATTATGGTAGTTGTGGATGTTCAATGATTTTCCTCCCTTCAAACTATTTCTGGTTCAAACTCGCAGCGAACTTGAACGCCAGCACATGTGTGCTTTGAGCAGTGCTCCACCACATGTATTTGCTGAAAATTGGCCTTCTCTTGCCTAACATCGGACTTTTGACCTACACCATCAAGCTTTCACATGTTGGTAACACATCTTCCTCCTTGGAGGGCTGTCTTTTCAGATTCATCCTGTTTAACCTGGCAACGAAGAACAGTTTTGAAGGAGAACGCCAAGGATAACTAAAGGATTCTTCCATTGCGTTAGATTAGCAGAGGGTTCCTAAAAAGATCAAAAACTAAAACCCTTCGCTACGCACTCAGGAAAAAGTACAGGAAATCACCAAATTTATAGCCAGGCAATTGGGCTTTCTCTTTCTCAGGACAAAGGGACAACGCCCCTCCCTCCGGCACGTGGCGGCCTCCATCACCCCCGGCTGCCACATCAAAAGCCGCACCACAGAAACGTGCCCTGCAGGTGGGGGTTTCCCAAAAAAATTGGCTGAAACCTGTTTCATTTAATGATTATATTATCTATAAATCTACATATATACATATATAGATACATATGCACCAATATGTTCTAGTATATACTTTTTGAAGTATGGGAAACCTCTATGGTTCTCAATGAATTTAATACATTCTGTCATTCTGTAGAGGTTTCAAAGCGGAACATGTTCAAGAAACCTCGAAGATGTGCCACTGCTAAAAAAAAAAAGCATGGAAGACTATGATTTCCGGCACTGTTTCTCTGAATTCCACCACTGACAGAGCAGCAAATTGGGATTTAAACATGTTCACTATGATAAATAAATAACAGTATGGTTATCTAGGTTTTGGTGGCCAAATATCCCGCAGTGATTTGGCACCCGAATTGCCGACCACATGGGAATTCAAAGAATAATCACCATGTCCTACTAACCAGTAACCAGTGATCCATCTGAATCTATGGTGACCTTCCAAAATTGCCGCAATCCTCAAGTGGACGTTTTTTATCAACAACTTTGATGAATGAGTTCTACCGTACCCTCCTGTAAATGAACACATGGAAATATTGGAAATCCATATGTGAACCCAGCGATTTCCATATCTCTGTGAGTCCTCCTAGAGCGGCTTCGTGCAGGGGGAGGTGACCCTCGCTGCTCCTGGGCCGCGCGACAGGGATGAACCAATTTGGAATACCTACGCCGCCATATAGAGAGAGGGAGATACTAATTATATATACATGCTAATCATGTGTGTGTGCATATGTGACTATGCTCAAAGGATTGAATGTGTATGTATATATATAGATATACATTAGATATACATTCCTTAAACATATATATATATATAATTACATAATTATATATATATACACATGCACCTGTGCATGTTGTGGACGCTCTTGGAGCCACTCAATGTCTATGTATCGCTGTTTTCATGATCCCGTGGAAGTCAGGTTCACTTGGCCCCAATTGTCTGCGCTGTCCCCGTCAATTTCCTCTTGGGATCTTGCAAGGATTTCTGTCCACAAATAAATATTATACATCACGGAACGGCACCCAAAGTCCCACAAAGTCCCACAAAGTCCCACAAATCCCGGATATTGAACCAGGAATGCTGGTGGAAGCAACCAACTGAATCAACTTCCTGCTCCTGAAAAACAACTCATCTCACTTCAGGCAGTCTCATTCGTGTCTTCTTGAGGCAAAGAAAGGCCGCCGTCTCCAAAGAAAAAATAGGGGACGACTCCAATCCCAGCTCATGCCATGGCATCGAAAGCCAAGAATCTCCAAGGTAGCAGCCTCCGGCACTCGCAGCAGTAGCTGGCTCGCTTTCAAGTGACCCTGGCTACTGGTCAGGTGCAAAGGCGTCTTGCCTAGCAAACCTCGGTGCTTTTCAATGGGACAGCATGGCAAAGCAGTAGCTGTAATGATTTCATTAATTTCAAATATCTAAAACATTCTAAAACAATGTCATTTTAGAGGGGGGGTCTGAAACAAAGACCTTCTGTAAGGTGATCATCACTTGTCTCATTGTGTGGCTGTACTTGTCCCATACAGCCACTAATTCAAAATGAGCAGCCCCAATGGGGGCTGCACAACTCGCCCAAAATCGAAATAGCTACGGTGGAAACATGTGGAAACAGCCGCCGTGAGTCAGCAGCTTTTGTGCAAGTCAGGGACTGGAAAAGGTGGGGAATTGCACAGGGTGCCCAGGGTGCTGAATCTTTCATGTTATGTATATATATATATAGATTTGGTGTGTTTGGTGTGTTATGGTTTGTTTCAGTTTGTTTCGAATGCTATGTACAAAAATAGGGGGAGGGGAGAGATACCAGCGTGCGTGTGTAGTAAATGCAGAATGCATAATGCATAACACACACATATATATATAATATAGATATATATACATAGAGAGATACTAGTAGAGAGAGATTTGTGTTCAAAAAAGATCTACAAAGACAATCAATGATAATCATAGATATGCTGTATGCGTGGTGTGCGCAAACCTGGCGGAAAGTCAACTCAGTCACGCTGAGGATAATAATTCACTGTGCGCGCACACACACACACAAACACAAACACTGCGAATGCCCAGGAGCATTGTACAGTGGCCATCTCAGGGTGTGCTTTCACCAGATAGTCCAGGACTTGCCAGTGACCTGCATGCTTTGATTTTTGATGAGCAGCGCAAATAAAAATAAACCTCAAAAGTTCGAAGGGAGCAAGAAGAATGTGAGTTTGGAATCCCTTTTTGAAAGTCCCGGTTGGTCCGTTTGTTAAACAATCAGATTGGTATTCAACAAGAAGCCTCCAAAGTTTTGGGGCCCCAAACGTGACGGCACAAAATTGGCATCGTGCCAATGGCCTTTCTTGGGCCCCAAATGTGTATGGGTCGAAATTACTGGACCATCAACATGGATAACATGGATAGTTTGGCGCCAAATGATCAGCCAGTTGTGGATCCAAACAGGCGCCCTAATGACTCATTTCATGCTGAGAGCAGTGCTTGCGAGCTGTTTCAATTACTAATGGGCGCCTACTATTATATATAATTATATATGTGTGTGTGTGTGCGTGTGATTATATATACATATACAGTACATCTATATAACTACACATGTGTATGTATCTACGTATTCATCTATTTATCTATTTATCATTATTTATCTATTCATATTTTCGCGTAGCCCATGTTCCATGCATTCCATTCGCAACCTGGCACACACCCACCTTGCTGGGCTGCGCAATGCATGGGGGTCCAGTTGCATCTGCTCAGTACCTTGCTGGCCTTAGGGAATTTCTCCACCTCAGCCGGGCTCTCAGCACCAGTAATCGGATCCCTGGCTCAATATCACCATGTCACCATGACATGCTATGACTGTGCCCAGGTGCCAGGTATTGCAAGATGTGAAGGTGGTCGTAAAAGGCCGCCATGTGGACCGGTGTGAAGCCGGCGAAGTTGCCTTGCTGCGGGTCTGATTCGATGGAGTGTTTCGACCTTCCCGACACCCAAAAAAAGAGGAAGAAACGTTTGCCAAGCTGCAGTTCCGTGCTTGACGGTGCTCGAAACCTTAGAAAACAGCAGCTTTGAACTGTCTTGCCAATGCAACGCAGCGGTTTCCGGCTTTAAACCATTTTGCATCCACATGATGACAACAAACAAGCAAATGGTAGATCAGCCCTCCAGTCAAATTCAAGGCTTGCAAAACCTATGCCTAGCTAAGAAATCTCGCAGAGCATCTTGTACCTACTGGCATGCTCACAGTCTAAAAAGTGATTTGCTCTCATCCAACATGACAATAGCAATCCCCAACCGCAACAGGACAGTGATCTGCAAATTTTCAAGCATGAGTAGCTCTGCATTTCCAACAGCTCAGGGTTTCTTTCCGCACACAGCTTGGAGAGGGAGAAGTGCCCGGCAAACGTCGCCTCAGTGTATGACTGGCAGGTCCACTGGCAGGACCAAGACCAAATCAAATGCTTGAAACCGCAAACATCCGCAAACTACCAAGACTGTAGTGGACGGATGGGCCGGATATGGATATTGAAACACCACTCTACAGGATGGCTATGGCTGGGAACCTCAGAAAGACCACTAAACAAAGTCGAATTCATGATTATTTAGGCATCCAGCCGCAGATTCCCCTCCAGTAAACCCAACGGCAGCTCGAACCAAATGCACTCAAGTGGCCATGTGCAGCAAAGTCCAGCCTCCGCGATTGATGACCTGGCTCCAAAAGAATATATAATGGATTCCCTGCAGCGATGGCATGTAACAAGGCCAATTCCCTGAAATCCTTACGTCTTGTTTTTTGCCGAAGTTGAAGCGCTCTCACGAGAAGACACCTCCAGAAGACGATGGCATCTCTGGATAAAGAACTGCACCTCAGCATTTGCCCCAACAATCAGTATCCCTCCACCCCCTCCCTAAGCTAGCAAAAGAAACGCCGTCGGGCAAAATCCGTTTTTGCAGGTGCCACATGGTGCCACAGGTATAATCCCATCCAGATTCAGAACACTGGGAACCCAAAACCAACTGTTCTGTCTTGCCATGTCTTGCCATTTCCAGGTGCCAAAGTTGGGACCCAAAAAGGTGCACAGGCTCTCTTTGACAGCCAAAGATCCACCTTGATATGGTTTCTCCCGGTGGCCAAATGCGCTGCAGTGTTGCCTTCCGCTTCGCAACACCCCTTTGAGACATGAAAAAATGACCGAGGCTGCTCCAAACAATTTGAGGATAAGCTAACACACATGGGTTCTGTTGAATGTGTGCTATCACAGGGAAGCTTGCTGAAAGACAATTCCCTGAGCGTTTTCAACATATCTACTTGAGCTTGGATTTTGGCACGTTCTCGTATCATCAGCAAATGTTCAACCCATCAAGACAGGGACATCACCAAGTACAGCAAAAACAAGAAGAAGAAAAACACAACTCTCTATGCATGGGTGTATTAGGCAATATATGTATATACACCCCACACACACACGCAACTATATATATATATACATACAATATAGATATATGTATGTAGTATATATATATATACACATGCATACATAGACATAAACGTTATATATATGTACGTATATATGTATGTATGTATTTGTGTGTTATTTGTGTGTACATTGTGTGTACCATATGTGTGTGTGGGCAGATATGATATGCACCAAAATCCAGGGCTTCACCGGTGCACCTTTCCGGTCCTGCACCATGATGAGTTCAGGACAGAAGTCCACCAGGAACCTGGAGCAGGTGGAATATGTAGGATTAATCCTTAAGCCTTTGGAATCACATGAAAACATGTTTGAAATACGAATTTCCTTGGGGATATTACTCCTTGAGAATTCTTATCTTGGAAACTTGGATTTTATCATGATTCGTGTGTTCACTCGTGTTTTTTTCGATGATGGATTTGTTGGATGAAGATTTCCATGATCTGATGCGAACCGGCGAACCAATCTGGAATTGTGACACTTTATGACAAAAATTGTCATTCCAAGATTGGTTTTACACTCCCAAATTCTTGTCCTTCGCATTTCCAGGTCAGAGTTTTGGATGTTTCGATATGTTTTGTGGGGTGGCAATGTTGCGTCCCCCATCATAAAGCACTGAGAACCGTATTGAATATTTTTGGTGGGCCCAGAATCCAGAGATGAGATTTTCAGGTTTTGATCTCCCTTCTAAGTCTACTTGTCCTTACTGGCTTTACAAAAAGTGAACTCTTCCCCCTTAATCTGATGCCAGCGGCTAAGGCCAAGTGGTGGCACGAGACCATGAAGTGGCTCTGCAGTAGATTTTTGGCGCTGACAAGCACCATCAGCAAGATACGCATATTATAATTAATATGATATAGTGCACATATAGTTATAATCATATATATATATAGTTCTTATGTATAATTAGTTATAGTCATTAAATCACTACCCTTTTAAAGGCAAGCGGGGGGACGTACCCAAATTGCAAGCCACAATTTAGACGTATTTGAGGGAGGGGGGCCTGGTAAATGTCAGCAAGCATTTACTTTTCTAACTGCGTTCTATTTGCAAGATTTCATTTTAGTAGGTCCCCTCACTCTTTACGGGATTTCATTTATTTTCTTAAAAAACGCAGGGGGGCGTTCAAAATGTCCGATTGCATTTTTGAAAAAAATGCAAGAAAATGAAAAACACATGTAAAATTGTAGTGTGAAGGTCTGCAAATAGCTGCAGAATTGCAGAACATCAAAAATGCAAACTGAAAGTTTGTAGGACCCCAGCTGCTTGGTATTTCCAATACATTCTACACTTTATCTGCACCTTTTTTATCATTTCCACATGTAACATAGAGGTATAGAAGGTATATTGTTCCTTGCAAATTACTGGAAAATCCTTGAACTTCAAATAAATGTAAAATTAGATGTTGAAGGTCTTCAAATTTACCTCCTACCTATGGAAAAAACAATAGAATACAAATAAAGATCTCAAATGGACCTCAAATGGACCTCAAAAGGACCTCAAATGAACCTTTATGGGGTCCCCATTTATGTACATGATCGAACTTAAACACCCTTCTGCCACGGTTCCTATCCAGCCTTCAGTATGACCCTCCAACCATAATATATTAACAATCTACACATGTGTCATGTTGATTCTGAAAGGAACTGTGGAACCTGAGGTGTAGGATGGTTGCATTTTTCTATCTTAGCTTTACCTTCTTTTTCGAGCACTTTCTGCAAGGAACTATGGACCTTATGTATATAGGATGGTGTTTTGTGTTTTTTAAAATCTTATATTTACCTTCTTTTTTTAACACTTTATGCAAGGAATTATAGGCCTCAGGTGTGGTATGGTTACATTTGTCTATCTCATTTTTACCTTCTTTTTAAGCAATTTCTGCAAGGAATTAAGGACCTCAGGTGTAGGATGGTTGCATGATTCTATCTTTATCTCCAACTTCTTTTTTGAGCACTTTCTGCAAGGAATTAAGGACCTCAAGTGTAGGATGGTTATATTTTTTTAATCTCATCTCCACCTTCTTTTTTAAGCACTTTCTGCCAGGAATTATAGGCCTCAGGTGTAGGATGGTTACATTTTTCTATCTATCTGAGTTTTACCCTCTTTTTCGAACACTTTCTGCAATGAACTATGGACCTCAGACATAGGTTGATTGCATCCCCACAAAGACACCTCACAAACAGTTTACAAACTGCTTGCGGACATTTAAAATAATGTTCACCTTCCCCCCCCTATCCGTAGAGTACGGGGGGGGTTCGGAGGGGGGGGTACGGGGTGGCGTATCTCTTACGGACTTTCAACCCCCCCTAAATGTAAATCTTCCGGGGCACGGTTTTTGACGTAGGAGGGGTCTAACATACATATAGCCTTCCCCATCGGGAAAAAATACGAAGGGGACAAAATTGTTGCTTACATGTTTAAACGTCCCCCATGCTTACACCCCACGAAAAGGGCTGCGATGTTATAAATTTATTTGTGTGCATGATCATCAATGACCATGGGTGATTGGCACAACCAAATGCAGGTATCAAACTCACAACAGAAGCACATTGTGACTACAAATGGACACTGAGCCACCACCATGGAACCAGGATCCACAGTGTCCAAGAGGATGGGCCCCAACCCGTGGGGGATCAGGTGATGGTATATAATCAAATCCCTCAACAGGCATTTATCCACCCCCTTAGCTTGGCGAGAGATTTAAGTCATCCTCAGCTATATGTGAGCATATTGAGCATCTGATGGGACGTAGTTTCCAAATCATTGGCCGCTCCATGCCCCGGAGGGCAATCGCACTGCCAGCGCGCTGCCCTTCTGCCGGGTTGCTGCACCGTCTGCAGATTTCCCTGCACGGCTGCAAGATGCAGCACCGTGAGCCCAGTCTGTGCCGATGCGGTGCAAGCTGACAGTTGGGGAATGGATGTCCGACGGCTGACGATAAAAATCCTGATATGCACTGAAATTGACTCTTGAGCGGGATGAAGAGTGTTTCAGTTGAATTTCCTGTTGCATTCAACTACGAGCCTGCAACAAATGAATCTCGAAATTACATAATCTGAACTGGCGACTTTTTGGACGTTCCATGTTTAAATGTTCAAAGATGTTCAAAGGAAGCACACACACACAAAGAAAAAAAACGCATACCTAAAAATCCTAGTTGCCACATGTCACCACCACAATTCCCCCACATGGCGCCTGTGTCTTTTCCTTCAGCAGCTCGGGACAAAGGCGGCAAAAAAACTTCAACACAGCCAAGCTGCCCCGGGCGCCTGCCATTTGAATCAACCCTTATTGGGTTGGACATATGGACATTTAATGATATTTACATCTATTTCTTCAAATCAAAAAATGAATAATTAATTGAATGCATGTAGGTACTATGCCTCTTGAAGTACGTTAAGGCATAGCACTTGCATACATGCAGTTATATGCAGCCGGTATTCTATATGTGTATGCACCGAACATCACCAAACGGACTGACAAATCTAGTCATCTTGCACCAACAAACGCGAATATGATGAGCAACCATCGGGAAAGGTCTCGTGACTAGTGCCTGATGCAGGTTGGATTGCAAATCAACGAACCGACGGACCTATCGCCCGCAGGGCGACACCCGAGTAGTTTCACTTACAGTGATGCTCTGACAAGTTACAATTCGGGACCCAAATGCCTTTAACTAAGGTTACGCACAGACCCCGTGGTTTGCCCGGACTGCAACATTGAGGATTCCCTGTCGTCGAACATGAGAAGAGAAATTGCAGAAAATACCGCGGATGCCCAGTGTTTTCTGCTTTCGGATTCAGAGTTTTCAGGGCTTTAGGCTTTAGGGTTTAGGGTTTTAGGGTTTTAGGGTTTAGGGTTTTAGGGTTTAGGGTTTAGGGTTCGTTGTCTGGCAAATACCAAAACACTGGCCCCGCGCAGGTTTTTGAGCATGTCAAAACATAATATTTGATCTCCATTCTAACCTTGCGGGCAAACCATAGGGTCTTGCCGTAAGGTTAGCTAGGAGGTGATGTTTATTGTTTTTCTTAAAAGCCGCGTTGGAACTGCAGGGGCTCGTCGTTTCCCGCTGGAAACCGGGGCAACCACAAAAACGTTCCCTGTGTTGACAGCTGAACAGATTGAAAGTAAGGCGCCCAAAAAAATAAATAGCAGCTTCGAAGCAAGGGACATGGCAAACCCCAAGTTTCAACAAAAATGTTTTTGGCCATGGGTCCTGAACATCCCACAGTGCGCCTGCTACATGCAGTGGGGTGACCTCTGTCCGGCTTTTCGCGTAGACCTCGCCAGGGGTCCCTTGCCCCCCTGTGTTTGTACATGTCCAGGTGTTTAGCTATCTAGCTTGGGAATGGACCCTCCTATCATCGAACATGGACATGGAATTCCACAAGTTTTGTTGCCACAAGTTCACATTTTTAAGGCTCAACAAAGGGGACGTCAAATGCACAGCGCCAGTGCTGCCACAGCACAGTGTTCGGCAACTCTCCTGAAAGGAACTCGGCAACTTCCAGGTGCCCGGAAGCAGCCTCAGCTGGTCGGCTGCATAGTCTTTATGTCGAATTAGATGTGCATACTATGAAGATATAATTTATTGAACAAATACACTCAGGCGTGATCATGCGCAACAAAAGAAAGATAGGGACAAATATGGACATATATATATAGAATATAATATATGCGTATATATGTTTCTCTCTCTCTCTCTCCATCGCCATCCCGAAGGTTCAGCTAAGGTGGGCATATATATATATACATATATTTATTTATATTTATATTTATATTTATAATATTTATATTGACATGTATATTTATATTTGTATTTATATTATACGCATGTGCAATCATGTGCACACATATGGAAATAAATGATAAACAAGACAAAACAAATAAGCAATAATAAACAAGACTGAATGAGCAATATTAAACATATTTACTGAAATATGTGCAGTGCAGTATGTCAACTCATATTGTATGTTGGAAATGATGGAAATTGTGTCACAACCGCCAGCAGAATAAAATCCATACACTAGTTGACGCACACTTCGGGGTGGCCAACACCCTATCTCATGCTGAAGTGGAATATCAAAATAGTTCAAATCATTGGTCAAAAGGTATGTCTTTCATCTCCGATATAAAGGCCGCGCGCATTGTTTGGTAGAAGCAGTATGAAGCAATGTTCATGGCAATCCATAAGACTTGCCCCTTTAGGGACCCCAGCACCCTTCTTTCCCTGCAATTTGAGTCCGAAGGACAGCGAGGTGAAGCGGAAGTAAACCCAAGTCATCCTGAAGCAGGTCGCTGTGCAAACATTGGCCCAACTGAAAAAACTGGATGGATCTGGATGGATCGTTTCATCACAGATTGTGAGCACTCGGATCTTTAGTGTGAAGAACCCACTGCTACACGCCAGCAGGGAACCCTCTTGATGTGCCTCCGTGGTGGCCAAAGATGACCATCCTTCCAATAAAAATTTGACCATGGGCAAATTGCCCGATTTGGCCGCCACGTGCATTGGATTCCTGCGGGACGCTGCAGGCTGGACCACAAAGAACGGTCCATGCATGTGAGTGTGGCAACACCTTCACTCTGTTTGGATCCCACCACAGGTTTTCATCCAACGCCAGCGCGCCAGGTACGGCCAAAGCCAAAACCTACCAAAACCGTCAAAATCAGGGGAGGTTATCAGCCCACCTTCAAGATCAAAGAAGTTTTTCACTGGTCTCATGGCCCCGCAGGGCCCACCATGGCCCGCCATGGCCCATGATGGCCCACCTGCCACTAGAGAGGCAACGCGTCTTCATGAGACATGGGAGGCGCCCAGCCAGTTCCTCCACCTTTTCAGGCCGCCCCCGCCTGCAGGGTCAATGGGCCACAATTTCGGATCCCGCGGGTGAAAAGATTCACCACTTTGTTGCAAGGATCAAGGGTTAGTGCCCCAACTTCCCAGAATTCATCATTGTTCTTTCAAGTTGCATCAGGTGTCTGCAAGTCAATGATTCTAATGAGGGGTGGCATTGTCTCCATATGAATGGGGATCGGTCGAAATCTAAGTCCTGACGGGCCGGCCACTCTTAGCATGGGACACATAATCGATGCCACAAGCCTTCAACTTCGGAGGGCTCACCATTTACAATTCCCACCAATTTCTGACCAAGTTGGGGATGGTTTATGGTTTTAGGCTAACCCCATCTAACCCCATTGGCAGGAACCAACCACTTTCCACCCATTGTCCATTGTTGATGAAGATTCACCGCCAGGGCCCGTACTTCATCAAGCTCTGCAGCACTTTCCAGCGGACTTCGTCGTCATCCTGCAGGTCGAATTCCAAGGGACCATTTTGGACTGTCTTAGGGTAAGTTCATTGGGTTTCTAGCATGTTTAGTAGTGTGTGGTGGGGCCCCTGCTTTCCAGAGAACGACACCATTGGGCTGTCTGGCTGCGTGTGTCTAGTTGTGGCTCAAGAATGTGAGGGATAGAAAAGGCAAGACCAACTTTGGCATATCTTTGAGGTGGGCCCCTCTGCCTTCAGATGATTTTGTCCGACCCTCCCAACATCCCCCAATGGCCTCATCCCCCAATCCCATCCTCAGGGTACGGTGCAATCTCCGCTTCTGGAAGGTCGAAGACCCACATCACCGGGCCGCCGTTGGGCGGTTTCACCCGCGTCAACAGCTTCATGTCGCGCGGCGCGATGCCCGGGATGGGGGAGGACTCCATGGCACGACTAAAGTGACTAAAAGTGGCCATGCTGGCCATAAAGGGGAGGAAATTTAGGGGTTGCTGGTGGGTTGTGTTGGAGAAGTATGGAGAAAATATGGCACGTCGAAAATTTTGGGTTTCCAATGTGCTCTCTGTAAGTTTTTGTTTAATGAAGTTTGGCGAGTTTGCGGTTGCTGAAAAGATCCTTTCCCACTGCTGAGGCCATCTGGGATTAGTTTCCCTAGCAAACAAACCGGCTTTCAGTGGATTTGATTCATTGCAAGGCTCAGTTCGGCTTTGTCAAATATGTCAGTTGGAACATTGACTTCCTCCATTCATGGCTGCAGCTGACATTAATCATTCACCAACCATTCACCAAGTGTGACCCAGAAACATCTGTGCCCTTGCGACGCGGCTCGGGCTACTTGTGAGCCGCTGCCACGTTTGAACCAGCGCGAATGATCCAATTCAATTTGGCCAACATTAAAATCAAAGCGGCAGAGTAATCAAAACCCTCAAAATTTGGGCCTAGTAAGTAGCAACACGACTAGGGAAAAGATTTTGGGAAAAACGGGTAAAAATTGATAAGCATGGAAAATGATGATAATTTGACAATTCGCCAGTGGTTTTCATTTTCACCATCTTAGATCAACTGAAACCCAGGAGTTGTGGCTATCCGCTGCCGTAGCTGGTCCCTTAGCCTCACCTTCAGGGCCTTTGGCAGCTCAGAATCTGAGTAGATCACCAGCTCCTGCCGCCAACATATCATACGCACAAATAGATGTAACTATGCCTTTTCATATTTTATATAAAACAATTTTTGAAGGGAAGTTTAGAAGCCTATACTTCCGTTTTAAGGAGCTTTTGAAGTCACAGCAATGATTGCCACAGCAATGATTGTCACAGCAGTGACTGTCACATCAATCATTCTCATAGCAATGATTCTCACAGCGTTGAAAGTCACAGCAATGTCTGTCACAGCAATGATTCTCACAGCAATGGTCGTCACAGCTTTGCAAGTCACAGCAAAGATTGTCACAGCAATGACTGTCACAGCAATGATTGTCATTTATGGTCAACAGCTCTGATGGTCAGGGCAATGATTCTCACGGCAATGACTGTCGCAGCCATGACTGTCACAGCAATGATTCTCACAGCAATGGTTGTCACAGCTTTGAAAGTCACAGCAATCACTGTCACAGCCATGATTCTCCGGGCAAGGATTGTCGCAGCCATGACTGTCATAGCAATGACAGTCACAGCAATGCTTCTCACAGCAATGTGTGTCGCAGCCACGATTGTCACAGCAATGATTGTCACAGCTTTGAAAGAGACGGCCAACAGCTCTGATGGTCACAGCAATGAGCACTGGCTACGGTCACAGATGTCACAGCAATGATGATCAACAGCAATGATGTTCACAGCCGTGAAAGTCAAAGTAAACAGCACAGATGGTCACAGCAATGGTGATCTAGCACGACAGCATCGTGTTCACACCTTCGATTCTCAGTTTTTGAGGGAAGTCTCGCAGGAAAGCTGCGTGAAAGCTTCGTTTCCATATCTTCAACTTTCAGTTTTTGAGGGAAGCCTTACATGAAAGCTTCGTTTTCACATCTTCAACGTTCAGTTTTCGAAGGAAGTCTCGCAGGAAAGCTTCGTTTCCACATCTTCAACTTTCAGTTTTTGAGGAAGGTCTCGCACGAAATGCGTTTTGAAAAGTTAGTGGGTTCGCGAAATGCTTCGTTTTGCATCAAAAAACGTGCCTCGGAAGATGGATAGAAGGTCTGCCGCGCATGGGTCCCGGACGGGCCCGGCTAGGGGCAGATCATGGTCGGACCGGCCCCGCATAGGCACTGACAGTTCGAGCTTCATTTTCACATCTTCAACTTTTAATTTTTAGGGGGAAGTCTCGCACGAAGGCTTCGTTTTCACATCTTGCACTTCCCGTTTTGAGGGAAGTCTCGCATCAACACCTCGTTTTCACCTTCAACTTTTAGTTCTTTAGGAAAGAGATGGCGAAGCTGTGTTTTCCAGAAAAAAACGCGCCTCGGAAGATGGACGGAGAAGGTCTGCCGCGCGACGGGTCCCAAACGGTCCTGGCTATAGTGGCAGATCATGGTTGGACCAGCCCCGCATTGGCACTGACAGTTCGGGCTTCATTTTCACAACTTCAACTTTCATTTTTTGAGGAAAGTCTTGCACGAAAGCTTCGTTTTCACATCTTCAACTTCCCGTTTTTGAGGGAAGTCTAGAATCATCCCTTCGTTTTCACATGTCTCACACCTTCAACTTCAACTCTTAGTTGTTTACGCAAGAGATAGTGGACGTGCGAAATTGCGTTTTGCAGCAAAAAACGTGCCTCGGAAGATGGACTGACAAGGTCTGCCGTGCCATGGGTCCCTGACGGGCCCGGCTAGGGGCAGATCATGGTCGGACCGGCCCCGCATAGGCACTGACAGTTCGGGCTTCATTTTCACATCTTCAACTTTCATTTTTTTGGGTGAAGTCTCGCACGAAGGCTTCGTTTTCACATCTTCAACTTTCAGTTTTTGAGGGTGATCATCAATTCTTTCTCATTGATGCCAACGCATCCGCGGATCAAAGACCTGGCATTCAAGAGGCACAAAGCCATGTGGCAGAGGCCGCAAAACACCTTAAAGAGACCGATGTGCCGTTGACGCACGGATATGCTCGCCTCGTCATCAATCGCACCATCGACGAACTGCATGCGATCCTGAATTGCTTGGATGATGCCGTCGTGGCTGCCAAAGACTGACTGCGTGTTTCGTTGCGGACCGTGCACAGCACCAGCCTGCCAATGTGTGCACACGTTGTCTTCTGCAGAAAAAATGTTGCAGCTGCGGGTCTGTGGGAGAGGGACAGAGATGAGGGACAACAAGAAATGACTTGCGAACAGATACTGGGGCTAGTTTAGAAGGATATCAGAATCAAAAAATGCTCAAGAAGAAATTAGCAAAGAGTGGACCAGCTCCGATCAGAACATGTCAAATCAGATAAGTCAGTTGCAGGCAGTTCGATGAGATGAATCAATTGAAAGCAGTTGCGAAGAGCTGCGAAGACCTGACCCGATTCAGAAGAAGAGAGAAGACTTGAGACAAGATGGGATGAAAGGAGCTGAGATGCAATGGGATAACACGGACTGCGGTGAAAATGGGATGCAATAAGCAATTTCCAAGAAAAGCTGATGCGATGAGATCACATGAAATGAAAAGAGATCCAGCCTTGAAAAGCGATGGCACAGGAATGACAAGTCGAGAGATTGTTGCTGCCAAGCACAGAAGGCTTGGCCACATCCTATTAGCACATTCTTTGTTCCACTGTATGGGCTATAGGCGGTTCAATTTTGAAACGTCCGCCCCCCGGCTTGCCCGGATACTACTGTTATATATATATATATACACATATACAAATTATATATTGACTGTGGGTGTGTATTTAGCGTACACACTTGCGTACACGAAGATCTTGATGTCTGGCTCCAAATGCGCGCACACACATACACAGATACATATTATATATATGATATGTTTTATCTATTTATTTTTTATTTGTTGATTTATTTATATTTAGTTGTTTTTATTTAAGAAATTACATATAATATATCAACCCGTTGACAAGGCGGCTCACAGCTTGAACCTCACGCAGTGGACAGCATTCAGAAGTTGAAAGTTGAAAGCCAAAACCACTTCTCCAATCTCCAAGCTTCCGGTCTTTTGACGCAACCGTGATCTCTATTGAAAGTCTCCTTGTTCATTTTGACAAATCATGAAGGTTGATTTTGTTTGATCGCGAGGATCGTCAAGATGAACAATCAGATGGCCGGGCCTATCTTCGATCTAAGACAGCTGATTGCACAAAGCAGAGTTTTGGATTCCAATCCACTAGCCCTGCGAACAAGATGGCACAGATCATTTTGATCATTCCATCAATATCAATATCTTATATAAGTGCACGCGTTCCAGCTATGTTACATGCTGCAATATGTTACATATCGCCCATCCCTCAATAAAATTCAACATGGCAGCTCAAGAACTTGGAAAATCCATGGGAATCCTTAGGTCAAACAGCTCAATCAAAGTGA